AATTATTCAGATACATAACAGAAGAAAAAAAATAATAGTTGAAAACACACAGACATATAAAGAAAGAGAAAGAAACAAATTGTGTTTGAGTTATACTCATAATTTCTTTATAGCATAATTATATTAAATAGTTAAATATACTCTTACTTTTTATATTTGAATAAAACATTAAAATTTATTTTTATTCCAAATTTTATTACATTTTAATTACTAATTTTAAAAATAAATAGATATAATCATTTTAATATAATATTATTAGTTTTTTAGATTTGTTAAATTAAAAAGCTGATATTTATTTTCTTTTAAAATTTATAGATTTCAATATGTCAAAATTTAAAACAAAAATAATTTTAATTTAATATCGAAATTTAAAGTTTAAAAACATATTTAATTCTTACATTTTTCCTCAATTAAAAAGAGAAGTAATACCTATTTATTGATTTAGGTTTTTCGTTCAGTTATTTAAAAAGATTTAAAAACACACAAGAGAACAACATAAAAAACACATACATGTGTGGTATATTGGTAAGTATTATTATACAAAATCATGTCTACAACAGTGTCTGACATAGAGTTGATCAATGCAATTTGAAACTTGAAACTTCTTTACGTGGCAATCTAACTTCAAGTTGAATTTTTGGGTAATACCTCTCATAACTTAAATAATGTATGAGATAATTTGCAGACCTATGGAGTAAAGTTGATGTTCTCACGCAATGCATTTCTGGTGGACATTGTTGGAGAAAAAATCGGTCGAGTTCTAAAACTAGATTCAATTGGAGCTGGTCAAACGTGGAAAGGAGTAGATGTACTGATATTTGACTCTTGGCATTGGTGGCTTCACACAGGAAGAAAACAACCGTATGAAAAACCACTCGAGCTTCTTTCACCATCTTCATCATCTTTATCACTTTCTCTCATAATTTTGCAGATGGGATTTCATTCAAGATGGGAATCAAACAGTTAGAGACATGGATCGATTGGTCGCTTATGAGAAAGCAATGAAAACATGGGCCAAATGGGTTGACGACAATGTTAACCCTGCACAGACAAGGGTTTTCTTCCAAGGGGTCTCTCCAGATCATGATAAGTAAGTTCTTCTGCCATTAAATTCATCTTTCAGAACATTACAAACCTTGTTTAACTTGTAATCTTTATAAAATTGTTGCAGTGCAGAAAAGTGGGGTGAACAAGCAGGACAGACATGTTTGAGGGAAAGTAGGCCAGTTTTGGGATCCAAGTATCCAGGAGGAGCAGTTCCAGCAGAGTTGAGCTTACAGAAAGTAATAAGATCCATGAAAAAGACAGTTGAATTGTTGGACCTTACTACACTTTCACAGCTGAGGAAAGATGGCCACCCTTCTATTTATGGTAATGGAGGGCATAGAGGTTTGGATTGCAGCCATTGGTGTCTTCCTGGCGTTCCTGATACTTGGAATATTCTTCTCTATGCTGCTCTCATGCAAAAATGACTTCCTATTCTTCGTTAAAACTAAAATGTGTTCCAGAATAAATATATTTACACAAATAAAATTACTTCAGCTTCCTTTGATTTTAAAATGGTATTATTAATTCGGATTTTAAGTTGATTCCTGTCAATATACAAACTTGGGCTATTATTAGCTCTAATAAGGGAAACTATAAATATAAGTTAAATTAATTAACTAATTAATTATGAAGCATATAAAAATTTAAAATACTTATAATTACGTGATAATTAAAAAATAGAAATGTGACATGAAAGAGTTAACAATTTACTTATATCTGAATAAAATTGTAAATGGAAGTAAGTTTTAATTCATTTTAATAGATAAATTTCTTTTAGTCCTAGCATTCACAACTTTAAGTACAAATTTATTTAATTTTTGAAAAAAAACATCTAATTCAGTTTAATTTGAATTCTTTTAATTTCTAATCAAATTAAGTTAATGAAAACATAAATTAATTTAATTTGAGTAATTAAGTTTTAAAATAGGAATGTTATTCGATAGACTAATTAAGATAGGCAAATTTAATTTCAAAAATTAGTAATTTGCACAATAATTATTTCAAAAATATGAAAAAGCCACCCGATGGTCATAAAAGGAATAATAACTCTACGCCACACCTGAATTTCACAAATAATCAAATTAAACACAAAATGTGCCTTAACTATTTGAATTATTACAATGTATGTTAAAAGTATATTTTTTTAATTAAGATAGGTTTATAAATAGATAAAAACTTCTACTTTTAACACTAAATTTCCAGAATATTAGTTATTCTTTCCTTCTTTTAAACAATAGTTTTTTACATTACTTTTTATTACATTTATTTAAAAAACTAATTACATTTATTTAGAAAAGTATTTCTAAACACAGGATTTTGATATAAAAAATTAATTATTATTATAATATCTTAAACTACATTTGGACTACGAATATGTATCATGCAATTTTTGCAGGATTTCAGATTCTACCGATTAAATGAGAAATTTCAAACTAAAATATATTAAGAAGAGAAATGTTTCTGCAAAGAAACACAATATATGCTCAGAGTGCAGATCATATATTAGAAAAGGAACAAACATAGAATTTTATTATTGATTCATGAATGACTAATGACATTGTTATTCAGTTATACTTTCAAACCCCTTCAAGGATCTACTGATAATGGTGGTGGTGGTGGTGAATGAACAGCCTCGTCACAATATCCCTCCAACACATCAGTTTCTTCAGAGGTAAACCCTAGAGAACCAACAATGTTAGGCCAGCAATCATGTCCAATAACCCTAATAGCTTCACAGCAACTTCGCCCTAGGTAGGTCTCACCATTCAGAAAAAACGTTATGATTTCTCCACTACATGCTTGCATACGCCACAGTGATTCCCAACAGTTCGAGGGTTCACCCTCCACCTTCAACCTAAGAGCAAGGCTTGGAGGGGTAGCTGGGTCGGAGAGTGCTCTAGAATCACCAACAGATGCATTTAAGGCCATTGCAGTAATCACAAGAACAGTCAGAACAAAGGGTATGCCAGACAAAGCCATTGGCTTTAGCAGAAAACAAGGTGAGTTTTTTGCTTAGTGTGGATGGTTTTTGGAGAAAACTTGTGTGCGATTTATATAGTGGGGAGAGTGTTAGTAACGGCTGATTTGTGGGCAGATGAAGAGGGTGGAAATAACTATGCAGTGGTTACATAAGGAGAAAGAATAAGGATTTTTCATCTGGTGGATATTAATGTGGGATATGAAGATTCTGTTGAATTTAAATGGAAACTGATTCTGTATTATGCAAGTGTGTCTATTTGTGTTCTTCATATTGGATGGTCACTTGTCAGAGACTATTAAACTCAAATATTCTTTAATGTTAAGAAGACGAAAAGTTAAAAATAAATGAGTCTGCATAATGAAGGTGACGAATTCAAAAGTTAATCATTATACGTTACGAGGTGATCAAATTTTAAGACTTATATGAAGGTAATTTATGACATTTAGATAACTTCACTTTTTTCAGTAAAATTTGCATAGATAGGTAACACTATCAAAACTTGAGATAAAACTAAGTATAATATTAAAAAGTTTAGGTTGATTAGAAATATAGTTAAATTATAATATATAAATATACATTGAGGTTACATAATGCGTTGTAAAAATGCCAATGAGAATAGAAACACAATGAATTTTCTTAGAGATGTGGAAATTTATGGAATGTTTATGAGAAACTCAAAACTAGCCAAAGATGACTGAAAGCCACTCCAATGACAAAGATGACTGAAGAACACATAAAGAAGCAATAATGGTCAGCATTTCTTTGCTTGTATGCTTTTGAAGTTGCATATACTTGCTTAAATATGGGTTACATTTGGAGAGAGAGAGAGAGAGGAACAGAGTTTATGAGAAGCATATGCCTATGAATAATTGATGGCTCACAGTACCACACTTTTGAAGTCTCTTCCTTTCTTATTTCGGTAAGGTTTTCTTAATTAAAGGTAAAGTTTCCTACTCCGTTGATGGTTTGAAGAGAATAGTTAAAGTTACCTTAAATTAAATTAAACTATAAGTGATTAATAAATTAATTATTAAAATAATTAACAAGACACAATACTATAAACTTTTTTTTTCTATAAATATATTTTTAACATTTTTAGTTTAGATATACCACGCATTTATATTAACATTACATAAATCTATAAATATATATTAGAGATATATTGATTAGATAAGTCTAACAATATATACTAGATAAATATAACAAAAAATATTAGATTAGTCTAGCAATATAAATACTAGATGAGTTTGTTTATAATGAGTATAACAAAAAACATTACACAAGTCATTCCATATATTGATAAGGTGAGTCCAAGAATACACTAATTAAACGAATATAATAAAAAATATTAAACGAGATTGTCTATGCACTCATTATACAAGTTTAATAATATACATTACATGAGTCTCTTCATATAATCACTAGACAAGTATAACAAAAAACGATAAACAAATTGTAAGACCCTAGGAAATTGTGGTAATTAAGAAATAATGTGCCTATGAGACTTGGACATTATTGTTTGAGAATTTGTGTTTGATGATTAATTGTTTTCTAAAATTATAATTATTATGTTTATTATTTAATGTTATTATTGACTTAGTGGAACATATGATAGGTATAACGCTATTGGAATGATTTGGGTGGTGTGTTGTTACCAATATGATGTGTTGGATTGATGATAGGAGGGTGATTTAGGATTGAATAGGTGTGAGTCAATTTCTAGAAAGAAAGAGAGTCAAAGTAAAATTTTGGGTTTTAATTTGTAGTTTGAACCCAAGGGTAAAAAGATCATTTTACCTTCATTAATTAGTGTAGAAATTAAGTTATGGGGGTGTGGAAAGTAAAAAAAAGAAAAGTAAATCTAAAATTAAAAGATTATGTGGTTGTTGATGTTATTTTAATTAAAAAGATAAAAATAGAATAAGAAAAGATAAAAAAGAGAAAGGAAACTAGGGTTTCATAATTAACCTACATCTAAAATGAAAAAGAGAGAGATACGGAGAGAGAGAAAGAAAGGTGATTTTGGGAGAGAAGAGGAAAACCTATAGAAACCTTAGAGATTGATGGTGTTTTAAAGTGTATACAAAGCCGTATGATTGGTCAAGGTATGAGGAAGTCTATCTTTGTTTGTTAACTATTGTATGTTATATGTGTTCTTGGTTATTTTGATTAATAATCCTTGTTGATATATGTTTATAAGATTATGAGTATGGTTATGTTGCTCTTGTTGGGCAAAGGTTTATGTATGCATGTGCATAGGGTTTATGTAATATTTGTGTTAGGTTTTCTGTATAAATGTATGTATGGTTGTTGGGTTATCCTAACGAAGGGTTTGATGCTAAGGGAAAATAAAGTTATGAGGCTTGGGGGTTTTCCATGCAAATGTATGTGTAAGGGTGTGGTAATAATCATATGCGTTACAATTGTGTTGTTTGGGTTATAATATGTATAATGATTGAATTTAGATGATTCAAGTGTTATGATGTATGTATTTGAGTATGTTCACAAGGATATGTTGGGATGCTTGAACATGAATGATGTTTTGGGGGAGTTTCCTCGTGATTTAGGGTTGTTGGATGTGTGTTTGCAGACTTTATTTATATCTAGGATGTGTTTCGTTTTGCTGATAATCGATCGACTATTGCGCATCGATATTGAGTCTGGTTGCGGGAATAATCGATTATCACTTATGATAACCAATTATCCCTTCTTGTGTGATGTTTCTGGGTGATTTTCACCGAAATAATCTATTATCAAAATGTATAATGGATTATGATGAGTNCAACAATGTTAGGCCAGCAATCATGTCCAATAACCCTAATAGCTTCACAGCAACTTCGCCCTAGGTAGGTCTCACCATTCAGAAAAAACGTTATGATTTCTCCACTACATGCTTGCATACGCCACAGTGATTCCCAACAGTTCGAGGGTTCACCCTCCACCTTCAACCTAAGAGCAAGGCTTAGAGGGGTAGCTGGGTCGGAGAGTGCTCTAGAATCACCAACAGATGCATTTAAGGCCATTGCAGTAATCACAAGAACAGTCAGAACAAAGGGTATGCCAGACAAAGCCATTAGCTTTAGCAGAAAACAAGGTGAGTTTTTTGCTTAGTGTGGATGGTTTTTGGAGAAAACTTGTGTGCGATTTATATAGTGGGGAGAGTGTTAGTAACGGCTGATTTGTGGGCAGATGAAGAGGGTGGAAATAACTATGCAGTGGTTACATAAGGAGAAAGAATAAGGATTTTTCATCTGGTGGATATTAATGTGGGATATGAAGATTCTGTTGAATTTAAATGGAAACTGATTCTGTATTATGCAAGTGTGTCTATTTGTGTTCTTCATATTGGATGGTCACTTGTCAGAGACTATTAAACTCAAATATTCTTTAATGTTAAGAAGACGAAAAGTTAAAAATAAATGAGTCTGCATAATGAAGGTGACGAATTCAAAAGTTAATCATTATACGTTACGAGGTGATCAAATTTTAAGACTTATATGAAGGTAATTTATGACATTTAGATAACTTCACTTTTTTCAGTAAAATTTGCATAGATAGGTAACACTATCAAAACTTGAGATAAAACTAAGTATAATATTAAAAAGTTTAGGTTGATTAGAAATATAGTTAAATTATAATATATAAATATACATTGAGGTTACATAATGCGTTGTAAAAATGCCAATGAGAATAGAAACACAATGAATTTTCTTAGAGATGTGGAAATTTATGGAATGTTTATGAGAAACTCAAAACTAGCCAAAGATGACTGAAAGCCACTCCAATGACAAAGATGACTGAAGAACACATAAAGAAGCAATAATGGTCAGCATTTCTTTGCTTGTATGCTTTTGAAGTTGCATATACTTGCTTAAATATGGGTTACATTTGGAGAGAGAGAGAGAGAGGAACAGAGTTTATGAGAAGCATATGCCTATGAATAATTGATGGCTCACAGTACCACACTTTTGAAGTCTCTTCCTTTCTTATTTCGGTAAGGTTTTCTTAATTAAAGGTAAAGTTTCCTACTCCGTTGATGGTTTGAAGAGAATAGTTAAAGTTACCTTAAATTAAATTAAACTATAAGTGATTAATAAATTAATTATTAAAATAATTAACAAGACACAATACTATAAACTTTTTTTTTCTATAAATATATTTTTAACATTTTTAGTTTAGATATACCACGCATTTATATTAACATTACATAAATCTATAAATATATATTAGAGATATATTGATTAGATAAGTCTAACAATATATACTAGATAAATATAACAAAAAATATTAGATTAGTCTAGCAATATAAATACTAGATGAGTTTGTTTATAATGAGTATAACAAAAAACATTACACAAGTCATTCCATATATTGATAAGGTGAGTCCAAGAATACACTAATTAAACGAATATAATAAAAAATATTAAACGAGATTGTCTATGCACTCATTATACAAGTTTAATAATATACATTACATGAGTCTCTTCATATAATCACTAGACAAGTATAACAAAAAACGATAAACAAATTGTAAGACCCTAGGAAATTGTGGTAATTAAGAAATAATGTGCCTATGAGACTTGGACATTATTGTTTGAGAATTTGTGTTTGATGATTAATTGTTTTCTAAAATTATAATTATTATGTTTATTATTTAATGTTATTATTGACTTAGTGGAACATATGATAGGTATAACGCTATTGGAATGATTTGGGTGGTGTGTTGTTACCAATATGATGTGTTGGATTGATGATAGGAGGGTGATTTAGGATTGAATAGGTGTGAGTCAATTTCTAGAAAGAAAGAGAGTCAAAGTAAAATTTTGGGTTTTAATTTGTAGTTTGAACCCAAGGGTAAAAAGATCATTTTACCTTCATTAATTAGTGTAGAAATTAAGTTATGGGGGTGTGGAAAGTAAAAAAAAGAAAAGTAAATCTAAAATTAAAAGATTATGTGGTTGTTGATGTTATTTTAATTAAAAAGATAAAAATAGAATAA